TAATTATAAAAATATTTAATTAATTATTTAAAATACACACTATAATAGTTGATTTTCTAAATTCCATGGCTAGAGGTTATTCTAGTAAGGTACAAGCATCACCCAAACTGTATTTCTTTTTCAAATAATCACACTGAAATAACTATGTTTGCATTAACTATATGGCAAAAAAAAATTTTGGAGCAGTTTCAATGGATATTATGAAATATTACTTCAAGTAGAATTTGTTAAATTCCTTCAGATTTGAGAAGACTTGTAAACTGTAGATAAGGATGTAAATTGGTACAGCCATAATGGAAAAAATAGAGAGGTTCCTCAAAAACTTAAAATGAGAACTACCACATGACCAGCAATTCCTCTACTGGATATATGTCCAAAAGAAATGACATTAGCACCTTGTAAATAGATTTACATGCTTTATGCTTATTGTAGCATCATTTATCATTGTCAGAATATGGAACAACCTAAGTGTTCATTGATGGATGAATGGATAAATTATGGCATGTTTTTATATATGTATACATATATATGTAAAATATAATATATATGTAATATATATTTTACATATATTATTTATAATTTATATTATATATATTATTTATTATTCATCCACATGTATATAATTACATACAATTTATTATTAATCCTTTTTTTTGAGAGAGAGAGAGAGAGAGAGAGAGAGAGAATTTTTTAATATTTATTTTTTAGTTTTTGGCGGACACAACATCTTTGTATGTGGTGCTGATTGAACCCTGGCCGCAAGCATGCCAGGCGAGCGCGCTACCTCTTGAGCCACATCCCCAGCCCATTAATCCTTATTTAAAAAGATACTGTCATTTTCTATGACACGGATGAAACTGGAGAGTATTGTGCTAAGTAAAATAAGCCAAACACAGAGAGACAAATACCAAATGATCTCACTTATATGTGGAATTTTTAGCAAACTGAATACATAGAAATGGATGGTAGAATGGTTACCCAGGCAAGATTGCACACGGGGAGGAAATAAGGTGATGCAACCTTAAAGTGTACAAGCTTTCAGTTATTTAGGGTGAATAAGTTTACAGCTCTAAGGTACAGCATGGTGACCATAGTTAACAATATTGTATTATGTGCTGAACATTTCAGTGCTCAGAGAGTAGATTTCAAATGTTCTTATACCTCACACAAACAAAATGTTACTATGTAAGGTGATTTATATGTTAATTTGATTGATAATAGCAATCATTTCTATATATATATATATCTGTATCATATCCTACAACTTAGATGTACACACACAGTGAAAAAGTTAGTCAATCCCAAAAAACCAAATGCCATTTTTTTTCTCTGATATAAGGAGGCTGATTCATAGTAGAGTAGGGAGACTTATGGAAGGTATGGAATATTTTAACATCTTCTTAGTTCTCCAAAGCAATATAGTCAGTTGGAGGAATCCACTCAGAGTATTGGGCCATCATTTATAGAAAGCTCATACAGAAAGCAGTAGCATATTTAATGATGTTTTAAACTTAAGGTAAATTAAAATTGCTCCACAAGGTGGGTTGCTTAAAAGCATGGGAGGAACAGAAGAACTCTAGATAGGGCATAGGGGTAGGGGGGAAAGGAAGGGAGCATGGGTTAGAAATGATAATGGAATGTGATGGACATCATTACCCAAAGTACATGTATGAAGATACGAATTGGTGTGAATATACTTTGTATACAACCAGAGATATGAAAAATTTGTGCTCTATATGTGTAATATTAATTGTAATGCATTCCACTGTCATATATAAATAAAAACTTTTTAAAAAAGAATGAAGCTAAAAACTACAACCAATAATAATAGAATAGGCTGGCATACAAGTACCATTTCAATGGCAATGTTGTTTTAATAAAAATAAGGAAAGACATAACTAGAGAGCCTCAGATCAGTTCTTCTTATCTATACAAATAAATGGGACAGAGAACTGAATTAACATAGTCAATAATTCCTATACTCTTAGAATAGAAATGTTTCAAATTCAGTCTGCCTCCATAAGCCTTCAGAATTTAAAGCAGTAATTAAACCACTATCCTCTTTAAATGGATATAATTGGTTCAATATTTACCAGAAAGAATTAACAGAAAGAAAGAAGAATAAGTTGAACTCTTTCAGAATACTAGTCACTTTATTAACACTCAAAACATTTGAGAAGTTGACCACATATGGGACTGAATAGCCACAAATGATACTTAAGAGTTGCATAATAGACTATAGAACCTGACAATGGACAAGCTCATAAAATGTAGTGAAGATGTTTATCACACATGAGTTACAAATGTTTGTTCACCTACTTGTTTGAATATTTCATTATGTGCAACATCTTTTATATCAAAACATTATTCCATTTTATAGTTGTTTATAGCATGCAGATCTGGTGAAAGTTATGAACACTTTCACAAGAAAATATATTTTGTTCCATAGTACAAGATATTGTGTTCATTTTCAGGGGATTTCTGAAGTGTCTGCTAAGATTTTAGCCTTAGGACAATCTATATTATTTGTATCCCATTATATCAGATATAAACCTATCTGTTAAATTTATAAAATGTAACTGGCTTACCATAATGATATTTTTAAAAAGTGTACTTGGACCCAATTCAAATTCTACTAAACATAGCAACCAAAGACTTATGGAAGGTATGGTACATTTTAACATCTTCTTAGTTCTCCAAAGCAATATAGTCAGTTGGAGGAATCCACTCAGAGTATTGGGCCATCATTAATAGAAAGCTCATACAGAAAGCAGTAGCATATTTAATGCTGTTTTAAACTTAAGGTAAATTACAATTGCTCTTAATGGTGGGTTGCTTAAAAGAAAACTCATGTTGACAAGCAATGTGTATTTTTAAATAAGATTTCAGGCAGAAAAACCCAACATATGACTTCATTAAGTAATATAAAGGTAGCATAAGTAAAAGACTGTGAAAAAATAAAAAGTGATATAAATGCCTTTACTATTTTCTTAGCTAAACTGTAAATGTAATATATATATATATATATATATATATATATATAAAATATATATTCTGATTATATATGTATATATTCCATTTTCTGTATATATACCATATACTATGTATCATAAACCAGATAATGAGAATATAATTAGAAATAACTACACTTAAAGGAGGATCACCGTTTCTATTTCCAGCAATTAGTTTCAAATATTTAAAGATGAAAATTTAAACACATATGGAAATTATTTTTCCCAAGGCCATTTTTTGTTGTTTATTTTTAATATGTGTATTTTTAAACACAAATTGTATGGGATACTAGTTCAAAAAAGGCTAATTTCAATTTTAGAAAGCGTAGGAATGTATTAAGATTGGAGAAATAATATAAGAAGTAGTATACTAGTTATGTATTTTGAGCTTTTATGCAGAAAATATGTAGAGACAGATGTTTTCATGGCATATCTAGTATTTGAATTGTTTTTCCCAAATGAGATAGCTTGAATTTCATCTGAATTATGAAGATGGATCTGGGACCAAGTGATTCACTGATTTAATTGTTCATTCAATATTTATGGATATGCCATGTACTATGCACTATAACAGATGAATAAAAATTACCCAGCTTGGGCCTCAAGGATATTATAATCTATGAGAAGAATGGCACAGATGAAATAAATATGAAGTATACTAAATTCTGAGAAGACAGCAGTGCAGAATGCAGAACATCATGGCAGCACAAGCTTTGCCTATTACATACTGTGGACACCTTTGGCTTCCCTTTTGAAAGAAAACTGTAATCAGGAGATTGAAACAAACAAAACCCCAAACCCCTCTCTAAAATAATATTGTTTTTTTTTTTAATTTTATGTTTTGGGTACTGGGGATTCAATTCAGAGATGCTTTACAACTGAGCTACATCCCCAAAGGCACCCCCTACCCCCCAACCCCTTTTTAAATTTTGAGACAGATTTTTCAGTAAGTTGCTTAGGGCCTTGCTAAATTGCTGAGGCTGGTCTGAAACTTGTGATCCTCCTGTCTCAGTTTCCTTAATTGCTGGGATTACAGGCATGGGCCACCATGTCCAGTCCTAATATAATGTTTTATATTGCCCACTACTCATCAAAATTTGAACAAATCATTAAAATTCTAACCAAAATATAATAATTGATTTCTCATTCCAAGGACTTAACATCATTGATCCATTATATGCACATTTCCACATATGCAGCAGAATTAATGTGAAAGACACTTTCTCCCTTGAAACCAATAATTGTTTTTAAAAGATCTGATGGAAGTCCTCATTTTTATTCAATAGAGCAGTAAAAGTATATACTGCTTAGTTTTCCCTTTCAAGTCAAAAATGAACTAACTTGCTCCCCTTTATTTTTATTTCTTTCTGTCCCCCCCCCAAAAAAAACCCTCACGTAGATTGAAGCATTTTTTTCTTTCTTCCTCCTCTCCTCTCCCCAGCTATCTTCCCCCTTTCTTCCTTCCTAAAGCCATCAATCTCTGGAAATCCGACAGCTCCATTCTGAAGTGTTGCAATAAGTGAAAGTGATTTTGTCCCGCAGTCGCTTGTCTCTCCTCCCCTCCAGAAAAGGATGGAACAGCAAAGTGGAGGCCGTGCGTGTGTCGGTGGGCGCTGGCAGAGTAAGCAAATTTGGCATTTTTAAAGCAATAGCTTGACAAATATACAGGGGGTCCACTTCTTAAGTTTGGCGAGAGTCCGCCCAGGTAGTTGAAACCGCTGTTATCAGGAGGAATCTCTTCTTCCTTTTGTCACCACTGACATTCCTCCTACCGCTAGCTGCTGAACGGGAGGGTCCCAAAGATTATTTCTGCCCAGTCTAGATCCCCTTTCCTCACTCACCACCGTCTCTTACCCTCACGCCCAGCAAACCCTGTCATCCCGCCCTTTCTCCACCTCCAGCACTGGCAATGGGTACAAACAGGTCCTCGCACAACCTAATAGAGAGGAGCTTCATTGGTTAGATCCAAATCCCGGCGGAAGAGAGGAGGACCAGGAGGGAGAAGAGGAAGCCCAGCTCCGCTGTGGGCGGAGATACATTGGGGTGAGGGCTTGCAGACCTGGAGAGGGGCGAAGGACCTAGGTCCTCGTCCCCAGAGTTACAGGTTGGAACAAACTTGCCTGGCTTTGCGTCGCAGACGCGTCCAAGTTAACCCCTGTACCTTGATGTGCCGGCACGAAAGGGCGAGGAGCGGTATACATAGCTCTACATACACATTGAAAGCTGAGCGAGGAAAGGAGGGGGCGAGGAAAGGCAGGTTCCGCCTCCCCTGGCCCGCGTGCACACACACGCCCACCGCGGCTCGGGCTGGCGGAGCGCGGGCGAGTGTGAGCGCGGGCGAGTGTGAGCGCGAGTGTGCGCACGCCGCAGGAGCCACTCTGCCCTCTCCTCGCACCCTGCTCAGGGCATCTTGAGAGCCTGGAAACGTGAACAGGCTTAAAGTATGGCATGTTGCAAAGATGGTTTCTGCCAAGAAGGTACCCGCGATCGCGCTGTGCTCCGGGTTCAGTTTCGCCCTCCTGCACTTCCTGTGCATAGCTGCTTGGTGAGTTCTCTGGGGTCCTTGGGAGGCGCGGGGGAAAGGAGAGAAGTGGGTAGCTCTTGGCCCTCTCGGTCCGCCCACCCCTCTCTGAGCGAAATGGACCTTCTTTACTGTAATATCGTGGGCTGAAGCCAAGCTTTTCTGTGACCACGTAGACGCGGAGAGGACCAGGGGCTCCTGGTGCAAAAAGAGTGTGGGTACAAGGGTTCGGGCTGCCGGGGCCAAGGGGTGCGCTTTTCTGACCATTTTGGTCTTCCTGCATCCCAACCCCCAACCCTGTCTCTAGCTTGGGGCCAGCGACTATTTCCCTAGAAGGCAAACCTGTTTCCACCTGTTCTCAGATGCATTCTTAAAATAATCCTTTCCACCCCCGTTTTTTTTGGTTCTTGCAGTTTAAACGAATCCCCAGGACAGAACCAAAAGGAGGAGAAATTGTGCCCGGAAAATTTTACCCGCATCCTGGACAGTTTGCTCGATGGTTATGACAACAGGCTGCGTCCTGGATTTGGGGGTATGAACTATTTTAGATGCACTAGTGTGTTCTGTCTGTCCCTTCCTAATCTGTCTGTCTGTGGAAAAATCATTAAGTATGCCCTGTGTGCAAAAATGAAAAAATTCTCTTTCTGTCCCTCTTCCCCCTACCCCCCTCCGCCAATTTTCCCTCTCTCTTCCTCTTCTCTCTTGGTGAGACCTATGACAAGAAGACCGCCCCCACCAGTACTTTCCCATCTCCCTGCCCCCTCAGAAGCTTTGCCTCTCCTCCACACTAATTACCTACCGACCTGACAGCAGGGTAGGGATGGTTTGGGAGAAGGGAGAGGCAACAACAGATTTATTTGAGAGCTTAGCTGAGACTGCCCTGCTCCCTCTGAACTGAGTTTCCCTCAAACTGGTTACTTGGCCCAGAGCAGGTTGCACTGGAGGCAGCTGATCTGAAGTCCCTTGTCCTCCCACGTGTCCCTTTCTCTGCCAAAAGCTGGGCCTGTGTTCTACCTAGGGCATGAATCTGGGGCACGAAGCTGACTGCTTTGCTAGGGAACTCAATCCATTGCTTTTCTCTTCATTTTACTTTCTTTGGGAAGGTGGCATTTGCTTCCCTCCTAAGATGATGGAGTCAGTAGTGTTCAGCTTCATTTCTTCTTTCAACCATATACGTATATAGCCTAACAGAGAATCAGCCATTAACAGTACTGTTGCTCTCGTATTCATATTTTCTTTGCATATATAATAAGAACCTATGTGGCAAGCTCTGTGCTGTAGCTTCAAACAGCTTCTCAGTCCAGTTCCATGAAGATAAGTGACTTGCTAGGATCCTACTCACCAGGTCGGCCCACCTCTTCTAATAGCAAAGTCCCTGTTCTTTCTACTGTTCTAATTACCCTTCAGCAAATGAAGTGAATAAGACATAAACGTTAGTTCGAAGGCGCTTACATTCTTTTAGCAGTAATAGTAGTACCAATAATAACATCCACTAATTTTGTATTCATTATATAAAATTTTCATGTAGACCATGCATTTTTACAGGTATTCCTTTATGCCTCACAACAGCCCCAAGAACAAGCCCTAACTTTATCCTTTTTTACAGATGAAGAAACTGAGGCTTGAAAAATTAAGTAACTGCTTCAAGCTCACAGTTAGTAAATGTCAGGGACGGGATATGAACCATGATTGATTGTGTATTTAAAAAATAAACCATATAGATTGGGATGGTATTGTGTACAATGAGATGTGATCAATATCACATAATATTAGAAACAAGGAGGAATCTAATGCTTTCAATTGAGGGTATATAAGAGAGAGACGGTAGGAGACTCGAGAAAGTAAAAGAGTGGGGAGCGGACAGCATTAGATATGAGGGAGGAGGAGTGTGGTCCCAGGTTAGAAAGAGTTGTTGGAGATAAAGTAGTTGGATGGTGTAGAGTTGATGATCCTTTGAACTCTATCTAGGCTCATTCTTCTCATTTAACAAATGAGGCAACGAGGACAAGAAAGGATTTAGACAAGGACACATAGCGTATTAATGATAGGCTTGGATAAGGTCTTCTGAATTCCAAATGATTTTTTTTTTGTGTGTGTGTGTGTGTGGATTTTATTGAGAAAGTCATGGGAAGCCACTGAAGGCATTAATTCAGTATTTGTGTGTAGACAGTGATAAAGATGGATGAAAAGGATGGGAGTTTTTTTTTTCTGGTTCTTTTCCCACTGCCACTCCAGGGATAGGTTGCCCACACTGCATTTGCCTTCATGCAAATCTGAAAAGAGGCTTCATTAGAGAAGTGAATCATTTGTCAAGGCATGATCTTTCATAAGTGACTGGGAAATTATCATTTTAGATCAAAAATAGTTTTGTGGAGAATGTTTCAGATGATGTGGTGCCATTTAAAACTATATTATATCAATAAGAGAGGATTTATCTGCCCAGAAAGGGCAAGTTTTAAACATGACATTTCAAGTAAAAAAAAATAAATTAATTAACAAAAGCATCAACTAGTATATAGTTTAAATATGCATCAGAGAACTGATGTACCTGAACATAAATGAAAGTGAAAAGCCATAACTGGAACTATATGGTTTTATTATTATTGGTTGAAAGTTAAAATAATATCTGTCTAATTGGTTATAAAGTAAGTTGCAGTTCAAAAGGGAGAAGGTATCCATTGTATATGTTTTTTTTTTCTTTTTTACCATGTACTCTCTCCTGTAACACTATATTGATAATAAGATGAGTGAAAACAATATGTGTAAGCCAATCTTGGGTTTTGGTTAACTACAATACTGCTAAATTTCTCAAGGGCATTATTACTCATCTTGCTTCTCATTGCCAAGTGATCTGCATTATTCACCTGGACATAATTTCAAAGCATTGTGGGAAGGGGCTGAATTCTCCCCACTTTAATGGTTAGCAGTTAATTAATGATTAAGAATTTACTACGAAGTGTACAATGTCAGGTGTTTTTTTTTCTTGTACTCTGCTCATAAATATTTGTGGTAGATGTGATTCATTTTTTTTTGAAATGGGTCATTTTCTAAATGCGTACTATTCCAAATGTGACAGATGAATAGTAATTATCACCTGCAGAAAATGTGTTATCTGTTTACATGAAATTGTAAATGTGCACCAACTGAAAATAATAAGAAAACTTGTTGTTAGCACAGACTCCTGGATGCTAGAAGTTTGATCCCTTCTATGACATTTTATACTTTGTGGAAAGTTTGACATTTTATAAATAAGATGAAAACAATTCAGATTTTGACTGGTACACTATAAATATGGATCGACTTCCTGGTTCCTTTAATCCTACTTCTGCTCTTTGTGGAACATTTACTTTTTATCTGTTTATACAACTTCGCTGTGTTCCATTTAAAATAAAGCTAAAAGCAAAGATTTGAATTGAAATTGGATGGTTTGTGATTGCTCAGTAGGCCAGGCAGGGGTTGAAATAGATTTGGAAACTAAATTACATATTTTTAACTCAGCAGCACAGCTTGCAGTGGGGAAATAAAAGGAGCTGAAATGGTTCTCTTCTTTTCATCCCTCCAGGATCTCTTCTCCCTTGTCTCCACATTCTCCCTTTGGGGAAGAAAAGGGGAAAAGGTGAGAAGAGAAGGAAGGAGGCATGTTGAGAGAAGCTGGAATGGGACTTCAGAAGGGACATAGCTCTTTCAACCTCTGATGAATCAGTTGCTATCATGCTGAAGTAGCTTGGACCTGCTTAGAAGTGATGCACAAGAGAACCTTTCCACAGAGAAGCTACAGGATCATTCCTCTTTGTTCTGGTCCACTTTCAAAACTGTTATCTGCCTTCTTAAAAATGCATAGCTAGGTTACTAACCACTGGCAGATAATTTGGGAATCTTGCCCTAACTGAATTATGCAAGGTTGCTCATAACATAGTAGGACTTGACTGCACATTAGTGGTGTCCTTTACAGTTTTGAAAACATTTTTATATATAGTATTTACTAAGATTACCACATAAACAAAGAGAAGTAGGGAAAGCCTCATTATTCTCTCAGAGAAGAAGGTAGAACAAGATTCAGTGAATTGCCCAAGAACTCTACAGTGAGTAATAGATGAGGTCACAAAATCCAATCCAACCTTTAAGTCCTTAGGCAGCTGGTCTATTGCTAAGTCCACCTCTGAGGCTTTTTGCATAATCCTATATATCAATAATTGAATTGTCCCCAAAATGCCTTCTTGTTACTCAGTTACATAAATTCTTGAGATAAATAAAACTATATTTCCCCCAAAGGAGTGAAATGAAACTCAATTCTTCCTGGTACTGGGAATTGAACCCAGGGACACTATACCACTGAACTGTATCCCTAGTCCTTTTTTTCTTTTCTTTTCTTTTTTTCCTTTGGACAGAGACTTGCTAAGTTGCCAAGACAGACCTTAAATTTGAACTCCTCCTGTCCCAACCTCTGGAATAGCTAGGATTTCAGGAGTATACTGCTATGCCTGGTGAAATAAGAACTTTGATTCTAAACATTTTATAATGTTTAAAATGGAAAAAAAATGAATGCAGAAACTTTTATTCATTGAGGTTAATTGAAATATTGTCTCACAAAAAACAAGTTTTCCGAGAAATGCTTTCAAATGATTTATATCTCAATCTCAAAGTGTAGTTCCTGTGTACTAGCTTTATTAATTGAATGTCAACAGAGAACACATTTTTTAAAATACATGGATGTAAAATACATTTCAACTCCACACAATGATAGAAATGTAAAGCTTCATTCTCTTTTGATTTGTTACATTTATTCATTCATTTATCTATTCATCTATTTATGTGCATTGAGAGATTACTCTGTGTTAGAATAATGCAAGGCTGTGAAGATATGGTTCTGATCCAGAATTGGACCTCATAGTTCTTATGGAGAGAAATGAAAATAGCAAAGAAGCAAATAACAAAATAATTAAATGAAAATGCTATGATAAAGGCTAATAGCATGTAAGAGAGAGAAAAAGAATTTGGATGGGGGAATCTATTTTAGATAGAAATGGTAGTCAAGGAGGTTTTTCAAATTAAGAAAGACCTACACATGTCAGGCATGGAAAGTGTAGGAGAAAAGTTATTTTCAGGCAGAAAAAATAAAAAGCCAGTGCAAAGTCCAAAGGTATATAGTACAGAATTGTCATTTAGACAGTGAAAGGTGTTTGTTCTGCCTGTAGTCAGAAAGCAAGAGCAAGACTTATAGAATGAGTTTGGGATGGTGAACAGAGTCTAGGTCATACAAGACCTTTGGGGATCCTGTATAAAAACAGATTACTTCCTCAGTGAACCTGAAAATTGTTGGAATTCTTTTTGACATGCTATTACTTAGATAGTAATATGATCCATCTAGTTGCTACATGAAGAAAAAGAGGCAGGGCAATATGGAAACAAGAGAACCAATGAAGAAGGTTTTGTTGTTGTTGTTTTTGGCAGGTTAGAGTTCTCTCCATTAAGTTGATGGTTACATGGAAAAACACTATAGATGTAGTAAAAATGGTTGTAAGTGGATAAGTG